AAAATCCATTTTCTATCCTTTGTTTCCTATAAATTTATAAATAAAAAATTTCAACGTTTTGACAAATGTTCAAAGGTATATCAATCTAACTACCAATGCTCAGATTTTCAGCAGCTAACATTTAACACTAAATTTACGGACCCTGTCAATTTAGACGGACATTGAATTCTTTAAACATTATTTCGTAACAATTTATGTCGATTTTGATTGACACAAGTATATATACGAATGCACATTATAATTCTCTATTCTTCAAACTCTAATTTTCACGAATTATATGAACAAACATGTACTCTTCGTAGAATAAATGTCCACAAATTTAGTGTTAATCATCCACGAATGAATTGCCGAAATGAAAAAAAGTAGTCGTCGAGATTAATCAGTCCACAGTTAACCAAACAATATCCTAGCAAATGTTTTCCTCGCTTAAATGCAAATCAGGCCCAGCCCGTGGATTAACCCTGGGATTATGTTCTCCTGTTTTTGCGTAATTCAGCGATATATTCGCGGGACTTAATTACGCCGAGGGAAACACGCTAACAGACGCGATCAATGAATTTATGTCGCGGTCTGTTTTCGAGCGTGGTTAAGTCCTGCGATACCCGTAAATACTGTTTACCATGAATCAGCATTATTAGGGGCGGACCTCAGACTTCGCTGCCTTTATCGGGACACTAATGACGAAAAAGTGTTCCTTGCAATCTGCAACTTCTGTTTCATTTGACCTTATTGCTTGAACATCCGTCCGATGGTATACTTAGATTTTTCTCATAACACAGTCTACCATTCTATTGTGCATCAATTGTTTAATTCTACGGTATAACTTATGTATAACATAATTGTCATTTTATATATTTTGGAATCTACTTTTATGCAGTTATTATATATTTTTCATTCGATTATGGAACGATGAAAAATAGTTCTTTGAAAACATACATATTTATTAATATTTATTATTATGTCAAGAACTCTAATTTCATTTGTGTTATTAATAATAGTTTATAGTTCGCAAATTTTAAGTTATTCTATTTTTTGATATAATATTATTAATCTGTTCAGTGATATAGTATTATGATATGTATGATATTTTACTTAACAAACGTAACAAACAACGATTTACTACTTGACGATGTTATTACATTTCTCTGAATCGAGAAGACTGCTTATTCTTTGTCTAGCTAATAACTCTCTTATTCCTTTTGTCTGTCCAGTGATCGTTATATTCTCCTTGTTTGGCTAGTGCTCTTCCTATTCTCCTTACCCGACCAATAACCGACCTATTCACTCTGTCTGGCCAGAAATCGTTTCATTCTTCCTATATCATAATTAATCGTCCTATCCTCCAGTTAGTGTTGGTCCTGTTTCCCTTTGCCTGACCAATAACCACCTTATTCCCCTTATCCGAATAATAACCAGTTACTTATAGTGTCTTATTCTCCTCGTTTCACTAATATCCGTTTCATTCCCTTTACTGAATAATTAATAGTTATATTACCTTTATCTCACCAATAACAGTTCTACATCCCTAATCTAACCTTCTCCTTACCGTTCACTTCTTCGTAAATAAACTAACTTTGTAAATCTTGAAAACAATTCAAACCTTGCAAAAATGACTCGATATTGTACTCTTGAATTAATTTTCTGAATAATTTTAATTATATATATAGTTTTATATACTTTTCTATAGTTTTATATACTTTTATATACTTTTATATAGTTCTATGTTGTTTTATATAGTTTTATATAGTTTTATATAGTTTTATATAGTTTTATATACTTTTATATAGTTCTATGTTGTTTTATATAGTTTTGTATACTTTTATATAGTTCTTTGTTGTTTTATATAGTTATATATAATTTATATAATAACAGAGGAACACTTTCAAGAAAGTTAATTGCAGTTATTATTTCCCTTCATATGAATACTTATTTTTCTTATTTCCCAACCTTATTTTTTACCAGACAAACACTTCTACTTCATTTCAATAGCGCAGACGAACCGTCCACTTGACTTTTCTACCTCGAACTCACACCTACGCCTCTTACGCATCCAATATCTCGCCCTTATCACGCCTGACCGACGTCCGAGAACAACCATCGTTTTTGTTGGACCTGATTGAACCCCAATATGGTTCTTCATCGATTGAACCCGACTATTCTATGTTTTAGAAGCTTTCTTCAGCGTCTGCAGTTTTTCAGGGCCATCACGATTTGGTTCTTCTCTATTCAATCATGTATTCATTGTTTCAGAGACACTTTTAAATCCGGAAAAATACAACAAAAATAAAACTAAAAAAATTAGTTACAGTAAGAATAGGTGTATACAAAGTGTCGGTACGGTTAGTATTAACGTATTCACATGTACCACCGGTGGTACCCAGCTAATTTATAACACTAAAATAGATCAACACTAATAGATACATTATTTACAAAAGCATTTATTTACACTCACCCACAATTAGCAACTAAAGTAAAAAAACTGGAGACACAACAAAATAATGGATTTTAACATTATTTTTGCAAGTATTGTTATCATTACAATCTACGGTTAACCTTTAACTACGAACGTGCGGTTTGTCGTTCTCAATAGCTTTAGTCTTAGTTATGCTAACGATAGTGTAATATCTGTATTAAATATCCCCACACAGCAATAGTATCAACTGTATAACGAAAACTTCACTGATTTCAAAATTAACGATATTTTACATAGAGGTCTTTCAAACCACACGTTCATGGCAGTGAAAAAATAAAATCACATCCATACTTAAAGCTTAATCATATAGAGACATGTCCCGGCGTGAATATATTAACAACGCCGATAATTCAGGAGCTAACAGAAACTCAATTACGTAACAAACAATGAAGCTCGTTCACCGCAAGTTTCGCGTTCCGACAAGAAATCTCGCGGCGGAGACACGACGAATGAATAATTCACAGCTGTCCGACACATAAGGGAGGGAAAATACCACGACCCGCGTCCCGAAGTCGATCCGACCGGAGACATCGTCTTCCCTTAGCTTCTCCAAGACAGCTGGCAAGCCCCGCTGTATTCCACTCGCTGCAGACGAAGAAGAAAGGAGGGGGATGAAACGAGTTGAGAGAAATGAAGAGGAAAAAAGAGGAGACCGGAGGGTTAGATAAAAGTGCTCATGAAAAGGTGATGCCAGTCACCGTTCGGTAGGGGGGTCGAGATTCTAGCGGTGGTCGAGGGCTCGAGCACACGGGTCGATGACTCTCGAGCCGTACCAGTGACAGTTTTCGGTGGCTTTAGGAAATCCTTAGTCCAGGCTTCGAGCTGTTTCTCTATAGCGAAAGTGGCCACAGTTAAGGCGAAGTAGCACGAGGGGTTTCTCCTTTTTTGAACGCACAATGGGATGGAAGTGCTTTGGGACTTCGCTTTCAGTGGATTTGCATGTGAATCGAAATATGTTGAACTTTAAACGTAATGAAATGGTCATTATTGCCCATAGTTTTTGTGGAAAGTAAAAGCGCGTGAAGGGTTTTAGAGGAAAATTAAATAGACGATAATTTATTTTCTTTTGAGAATTTTGGTAAATTGGAAATCATTTAGTAAAGCACTGCTTTGGTTTATATTCTATGTTGTTTTTCGTATATGCGTAAAATTTGATCCCTATCGATTATAAAGTACTTAAAGATGTTGATTTCGGTTTCTGGAACTCCAACTTCTGCTGCGTTTCT